ATGTGCCACCATGCCCAGCTAATTTTTGTATTTTTAGTAGAGACGGGGTTTCACCATGTTGACCAGGATGGTCTCGATCTCTTGACCTCGTGATCCACCCGCGTCGGCCTCCCACAGTGCTGGGATTACAGGCTTGAGCCACCGCGCCCGGCCTAAAAAGTATTTTTAAAAATTAGCCAGGTGTGGTGGTGCATGCCTGTAGTCCCAGCTACGCGGGAGGCTGAGGTGGGAGGATCACTTGAGTCTAGGAGGCTGAAGCTGCAATGAGCCATGATGGTGCCACTGCACTCCAGCCTGGGTGACAGAGCAAGAGCCCGTCTCTAGAATAATCAAACTCAGCCGAGCCTGGGGGTTTATGTCTGTAATCCCAGCACTTTGAGAGGCAGAGGTGGGCGGATCACCTGAGGTCAGGAGTTGGAGACCAGCCTGGCCAACATGGTGAAACCTGTCTCTACCAAAAATACAAAAATTATGCTGGGTGCAGTGGCTCACACCTGTAATCCCAGCACTTTGGGAGGCCAAGGCAGGCGGGTCACCTGGAATCAGGAGTTCAAGACCAGCCTGGCCAACATGGTGAAACCCCATCTCTACTAAAAATACAAAAATTAGTTGGGCGTGGTGGTGTGCGCCTGTAGTCCCAGCTACTCAGGAGGCTGAGGCAGGAGAATCCCTTGAACTCGGGAGGTGGAATTTGCAGTGAGCCAAGATCGCACCACTGCACTCCAGCCTGGGCGACAGAGTGAGACTCTATCTCAAAATATAATAATAATACGAATACAAATGCAAAAATTAGCTGGGCATGGTGGCACGTGCCTGTAATCCCAGCTACGCAGGAGACTGGGACAGGAGAATCGCTTGAAGCCGGCAGGCGGAGGTTGCAGTGAGCCGAGATCGTGCCGCTGCACTCCAGCCTGGGCAACAGAGTGAGACTCTGCCTCAAAAATAATAATAATAAAAAATTTTAAAAGCAAAAAAAAAAGAAAAACAGAAAAGATAACACAAATACAAAAATTAGCTGGGCGTGGTGGCGCATGCCTCTAATCCCAGCTACTCGGGAGGCTGAGACAGGAAAATCGCTGGAACCCAGGAGGCGGAGGTTGCAGTGAGCCGAGATCGCACCACTGCACTCCAGCCTGGGCGACAGAGCAAGACTCCATTTCAAAAAAAATAAATAGATAAATAAAATACATAATCATACTAATAAAAAATAAAGCGGGGGAAACTGAGACTCCAGGTAGATGAGGCTGAGAAGGGAATCCAACCCAGGTGTGCCTGAGGCCAGGTCACCTGTGGTCTGTGTCTGGACCGTGTTGGCTGGGCATTCACTAGGGCTGCCCCTCTGCCAAGGCCTGGGGCCAGAACGTACTGGACCCTCCACCTGGGCTGAGGAAGATATTGGAGCTGACACCCAGGGGACCTGTGTCACATCTGTGTTCAGACCTCTGGGCTCCAGGCTCAGAGCCTGAGTTTGATCATGATTGAACACTTTGGAGCCGGGGCAGCCCACTGGCCCTTCTAGAGGGTTCCTCAGTCACTGCTTCATCCAGCCTCCCAGGTGTGGCTTCATGACAGTGTCGTGGGAGCTGGCCAGGGGAGGCACCGCAACTCTAGAGGTCTCAGGAAATTGCCGGGTGATGCAGGGTGAGGTGGGAGGCTCCAGCTGAGGCTCCTCCTTCATCTTGCAGAGATGGTGCCACTGAGTCACCTCGAAGAAGAACAGCCCCCAGCACCTGAGTCCCCGGAGGTGAGTCACAGAGCCTGCGGGCCCCCGCCCATCTTGTTCTTTCCAGAGTGGACCGGGCATCCGAAGAAAGGGCTGGGTTTGCCGAGGTCTTACATGTAGGCTAATTAGCTTGTGTGACTTTGGAGGCAAGGCACATGGGACTGCCCTGCCTTGGAGGTCGGGTGGAGGGGGGGCACCGGGAAGGTGAGTTTTGCAGGATGTGTAAGAGTTTTCCAGGAGGAGGGCACAGCTGTGAGCAAAAAAAGTACAGAAAGTCAGCAGCTGAGTTGGAAAAGTTTGGACAGGGGAGGAGGTAGCATCGGGCACCAGGATCAGAGGTTTGGGCTTGGGGGCAGGAGCCAGGCCAGCTCTGCAGTGGGGCAGGACTTTCAGCCCTTCTCATCCCCCAGAGCCGCACCCTGGTCGGGCAGTCACGGAGGAAGCCATGCGAGAGCGACTTTGAGACCATCAAACTCATTAGCAACGGAGCCTATGGGTGAGTCCTGCATAGACCCATTTCACAGATGCCAGAGGAGATGGTGAGGCCCAGGCAGTTCCTGCATCCCCGTCCCACCTCAGGAGGCCTCACACATTCACCATTGAATGGGCAGAGAGGCCCACCCGAGGCCTGGAGTGGGAAGTGGAGACCCGGCCTCACGTGTGCTCTGTCCACCAGTCAGCCCTTTACCTGCCCCAGGTGTAGGGCATTCTAGGGGCTTGACACGTGGGCCTTCTGAAAGGCCCTGACCCCACCTCAGAGGCCCCGCCCCAATCCACTCTGGCCCCGCCCTCCCTGAGCCCTGGTGGGCTAGATCAAGCGTGGAGCTGGGGGGGCGGCCGATTAAGGAAATAGATGCCCACCCAGTGGGAGTTGCGCGCAGTAAGCTTTATTTAGGTGATGCTTTGAATGGCAGGTTTGCATACAAGGGAAGTCCCTCACAACATAAGCCCTTTGGAGGCTGAGGTTCCAGGAGCCACCATCGAGAGGGAGAGGCCAGCAAGGGAACTGCCGGGGGAGAGGGGGATCAGAGAGGGGGCTTACGTGTCTAGGTGATGTTCTACAGCAGGAACATGAGTCTCTGGGTCAGAGAGTCCTGCAGGGCAGTCGCAACTTAGGGTCTTCAAATCACAAGGTTGGCCGGGGGCGGTGGCTTACACCTGTAATCTCAGCACTTGGGGAGAGCGAGGCAGGCAGATCACAAGGTCAGGAGATTGAGACCATCCTGGCCAACATGGTGAAACCCCATCTCTACTAAAAATACAAAAAATTAGCTGGGTGTGGTGGCATGCGCCTGTAGTCCCAGCTACTCCGGAGGCTGAGGCAGGAGGATTGCTTGAACTCAGGAGGCAGAGATTGCAGTGAGCCAAGATCACGCCACTGCACTACAGCATGGGCGACAGTGTGAGACTCTGTATCAAAAAAAAAAAGAAAGAAAAGAAAGAAATCCACAAGGTTCGTCTTATCCGTGGCTCAGAGACACAGGGTGCAGTTTCACAAGTCTGCAAAGCAAACAGGCTCTCACTGGCTAACATTTTGCTTATTCAGGCTGTGTGTAAAAACAATTTGATGTGTAAAAATTTGAGCTCGGTGCTAGCAGGCTTTTGAAAGAGCTGGACTGGGTGCGGTGGCGCTTTGGGAGGCCAAGGCAGGAGGATCACTTGAGGCCAGGAGTCCAAGACCAGCCTGGCTAACATGGCAAAACCCCATCTCTACCAAAAATAGAAAAATTAGCTGCGCATAATGGTCCCAGATACTTGGGAGGCTGAAATGGGAGGATCACCTGAGCCCAGGAGGCGGAGGTTGCAGTGAGCCGAGATTACCCCACTGCGCTCCAGCCTGGGCGATAGAGTGAGACCATCTCAAAAAAAAAAGAAAAAAGAGAGAGAGAGAGAGAGAAATATACAGGCAGCCAGGTGCAGTGGTTCTCACCTGTAATCCCAGCACTTTGGGAGGCTGAGGCGGGAGGATCGCTTGAGGCCAGGAGTTTGAGACTAGCCTGCACAATATAGCAAGACCCCATCTCTACCAAAAAAATTAAACATTAGCAAGGCTTCTGATGTGGGAGGATCACTTGAGCCCGGTGGCAAAGGGGGAGGCTTAAGACGATAGTGAGCCATGATCTCATGACTGCACTCCAGCCTGGGCAAGAGTTAGGCACTGTCTCAAAAAGGTAAAACAAGATAAAAGAGGTGGGGCACAGTGGCTCTTGCCTGTAAACCCAGCACTTTGGGAGGCCGAGGTCAGGAATTCAAGACCAGCCTGACCAAGATGGTGAAACCCCGTGTCTACTAAAAGTACAAAAATGAGCCGGGTGTGCTGCCATGCGCCTGTAATCCCAGCTACGTAGGAGGCTGAGGCAGGAGAATCGCTTGAACCCGGGCAGCAGAGATTGCAGTGAGCTGGGACTGTGCCACTGCCCTACAGCCAGGGCGACAGACTGAGATTCTGTCTCAAAAATAAATAAAGAAAATAAAAATTGCAACAATTTTGCATGTTCTTCACATGTACCCCAAAACCTAAAATGCAATAAAATAAATAAATGG